ACATTTTACCTTATTTGTATATTTGTATAGTTGTATTTTATATTTAATCTGTATATCTGTATTTATGTTCTACTGTTAGTGTTATCTGTATGCATCAAGGGTCTGAGAGTATAACGCAATTTCAATTCTCTGTGTGTATGTGCTGTACATGTGGAAGAATTGACAATAAAGCAGATTTTATGCATCAGTTATTGCTGGGTGGTATGACCAAAAATTTATATCACGGTATTTTTCAAAATTATACCGGTTTCACGGTACATGACGGTATTTTTTTTCATGCATGACCGGGTGTTAAACATATTTTCTACTGATTGAGAGAGGAAATACTGCAGTATATTGACTTAGAATGCCCTATTTTACTGCCATGATGAGTGAATATTGTCAAAAAATACCACACTAAATAGTGACTAAACACGACCCCTTTTAATACATGTTAACCAGGAGTCACTCTCATTTATAATCGCGGCATCATCTGATAAAATCAACATGCATCTACACTAAAGAGCGGCTATGCGGTTGTTTAGGCTATATTACTTTTTTGTCTCATGCAGCGCACTGCCTGCTTCTGAGTAACAAACTAAAAAAAACAACAAACAAAAAAAGTGCATGTGATATTAACAGATGAACTACGCTCATATTTATAATTCCAAACAATCAGTAAGCGACAGGTGCTAGGAAACGCAACTCAAATGCTACTTTTGTACTCATTTATTGACGAGTCGGCTGTGGTGCGGCCAACTGAGTGCACTGCTTCTCTGCCGCTCACTGCACAGAACAGTTCTGAGAGAGGTGACACTTTTCCGGGAAAACAGCACTGGCGAAATCTTCCAACTGAACCATAGCTAAGGTTTATCCAAAAAAGTCGCTATGTTTGTCAGTATGAATATTCTATGGAAAAAAGCCGCTAAAAGGGTCTGAAAGTTGCTAAATCTAGTGCTAAAGTCGAGCTCGTGTGGTGTGTGTGAGACGCGGGAGCTGATGGCAGGGGGCGGTGGATATTTGTGGCGGTCAATGTGGATATTGTGGATGAGTTCTTCGGTCATCACGTTCTATTAGTGCTACAGCTTCAGTTTCTGAACTTTCACGCTTAGTAACACATACAGCTGTTCCCTCACCACAGTGCAACAGTGAAAAGGGACCCCTTTCAAACAGTGTCGCGTTCCGAACGTTGTTTAAGCGACATACACTGGTATTTTAAAAATTCATATCATAACAAAAATAAATATTCAGTATGAACCGGTATACCGCCCAGCACTAGCATCAGTCCAAAAGAAGGTAAATAAAAAAATTAAAGAAGGTAAAAAAAAATGTTTTTTAAAAAAGTGTCTCACACGGCTCCGGGGGGTGAACAAAGGCCTTCTGTAGTGAATCGATGCGTTTTTGTAAGAAAAATATCCATATCCAAAACGTAATAATCACTAATGTAGCTTGCGCTCACTGTTGTACACAGAAGCAGTTCCGGGCGGATGAGTTCAGCGTTGCGAATACACCGCTCAGAAGTGATGAACGCGGAAGCGCAGGGGAGAGATCAAAACAAAACACCGGTCACTTATTAAAAGTACAAAATGAGGATTTGTAAAGAAGAATGTCGGAGGATTTTGATATAAGCCAAGAGGAGACTGGTTTTCCTTTGCTACAGAAAGGAAACTTTGCTTCCTTTGCTCCTGTTAACAAACGTCGTTTTTCACGAGACTCACCGGTGCATGCGCAACACTGACCTCATACCTCATCCTCCCGGAACTGCTTCTGTGTACAGCTGTTGGCGCAAGCTACATTAAAGTGATTATTACATTTTGAATATGGATATTTTTCTTACAAAAACGCATCGATTCGCTTCAGAAGGCCTTTGTTCACCCCCCGGAGCCGTGTGAGACACTTTTTTTTATGGATAGGCACTTTTTATTTAACTTCTTTTCGACTGATGCATGCAACACCCGCTGAGTGCCATGAAACAGCTTGAAAGATCAAAGACAATTTTTAATATAACTCTGACTGGATTCGTCTGAAAAAAGAAAGTCATATACACCTAGGATGACTTGAGGGTGAGTAATTTATGGGCTAACTTTAATTTTTTGGGTGAACTAACCCTTTAAACACAATACATTGTAAATGATGATAGTAAGTGGATCAACAGACATTAATGTGACAATAACAGATAAGGTTGGCACATCTACGCTTGAGAATCCCTTAAACCTGGAGATTGTAAATCTACGTCATTCCTGTTGGAACAGAGGAGGCGTTGGGATCTAACGCTATCTCACAGTGTCAATCAGTCTTCACAGTTTCAGTCACAATGCCTGGAGCGTCTCCTACACCAGCTCATGCAGTACGACAACACACACACACACACACACACACACACACACAAAGCATTTGATTGCATTTTACCACATGAACTACAGCACTGAACATCAAAAGTTTCTGTAAAACACTATAAACACTTCAAAACGATCTGTTTGTCCAACCAGTGTGGAAAGGAGGGAAGTAATCAGGAAACCTGTTTGTCATTATTTATATGCAATTACCTTTAATGGCAATTTAAAGATGCAATGAGGTACTGTGGCATAATTTACTACGGGTCATTCAAACCAACTCCAAGTGTTTAGATAGAATTTAAAACCACGTCTCTTCTGCCTGCGCACACGTTGCACAAGCAGCATCAAAGTACTACGAAACACGCACTGCGGCCTTGTTATAGCAAAACCCAAGAGATGCAAGGAAAACAGCACTCTATATGTCTTATTTGTATTTATATCTTCAAAAAGGTGAATCTCTAACCATTAAAGTCATTGCATCCATAGAACTGATTCTAGTTAGATCATTGTGCCAAAGGATTGGAGGAGTTTCATACACTTTTCAGAGTCTGTCAAGTTCTATCAGATTTATTGATAAGTACTAGTGAACTGCTGTGAACTGTGGATTTTCAATATGGGTTAAAGTTCAGGCTTTGCTCTGAAACACTCTTGTCTAGAAAGCACATTTCAGACTTGATCTGAGGTTTTTCAGCTGTTAAGTCAAAACTCTTTTGTAGCTGACACATGCCAGAGTGTGCGATCGGTGCGAAGTTGATTTGCAGGATTCTGCCTGGAGTGAAGTGCGTTTGTTTGTTGCAAAATCAGTGCTGGTGTTTCATCTTGTTATAAAATTGCACCGAGATTACTTTTTTTTTTTTTTTACTGGAGAAAGTATTATTATGGATAGAAGGCTTGTATTTTACACAGAAGCAATGGTTTGAAGTTAAAAACAGCTTGATGGATTTGTTTATTACAAACACACAGCTTTTCTCTTCACAAGACGTTAAATTATGAACTTGAGTGGTGTGGATTACTTGTGGATTATTATGATGTTTTTATCAGCTGTTTGGACTCTCATTCTGACGGCACCCATTCACTGCAGAGGATCCATTGGTGAGCAAGTGATGTAATTATACATTTCTTCAAATCTGTTTTGATGAAGAAACAAATTTGCACATCTTGGACAGCCTGAGGGTGAGTAAATTTAAGCAAATCTTCTTTTTTTGTGAACTATTTCTTTAATTAAGGGGATTTGTGTTTGTTTTGTGAGAATCACAACCGAATGTCTTACATAAGCTGTGCACGATGGTTGAGACCACATTAGATTAAACTGAAAGCCTTTAACAAACTCGTCCATCTGCGATGAACCTCCTCTGACTTCTCTTATTTAATTTACAGCGATATTCCATTAAACCATGCAGAAAAGCTGAATCACAAAGACAGTTTTCAATTTGCTCAGTCACTTTGCATAAAAATCTCTAGAGCGCGGCACGTCGATTTAACCATTTGCACGGCTGTTTGCTGCGGCACACTGTCATGAGGAGAACTGAATTATTTCAGTTAATGAAGCGGAGTGATTCTGTAACAGTTTTAATTGCATGATCCAAATTTAACGTCTTGCCATATTGTGCCTCGTGATGAAAATTATAATGATGGGATGTTAACAGAATGTATTCTTGGCATCGCCACACATTAGGGACCCCATCTGTTAAAGATGTTCTCTTTTATGTGGGACACAATTAAGTTGAATCTCTCCAACAATTCAGCTTATATATTTGACATATCTGACTGTTCAGTTCTTTAATTTCAACTCAGTGACTGGCGAAGATTGTCAGTACATAACTGGATTCAAAAAATTTTTTTCACACAAAGCTAAGAGTTGCATGTACTACCTTTTGTAAGTTTGAATGCCTCAGTCAGAAAAAGTACACAATTCTTCAAAATGTTTCCTATTGTGTATCACCCAAGAAAGTCATATGGGTTTACAAAGAATTTTCATTTACGATTGTTTTAATCCTCCATCACTAATAATCACTCCAAATCTCACACTCTAAAAAATGCTGGGTTAAATACAACCCAGTGCTGGGTAAAATAGCTGTCAGAATCTGTATAATGATGAAAATATGATTGTATTTCCTTTGTCAGATCATAAGAAGAAAGCAGGAACGAGCAAATAGCTGCTTCCTGGTGTGAAAGCAATACTGGAACCTGACAGGACAAATAACTTTAAATGTAGCCTACTGTTAAATGAGGGACAAATAATGGCTTTTACTGTTAGTAGCCTACACTAAAAAAAAAGAAGAAGAAAAAAGAAAGAAAAAGTAACTGAGCTATTTTTTGAACACCCACTTAATAGGCTATTCACTAAATATAGGCTACTGTAAGAAAAATCGTGAAAGCATATAATGTATGTTTCATAATTGTTTAAAACAGTTAGCCTACTTATAAAAAATACATCGTCAGTTGCACCCTCAAAACATGAATTCATTTAAATAGACCCTTCACATACGTTGCTTTCTGTAACTATGGACCGAATTAGCGACACTATAAATAACTTAATTTCTAAGCGACTTGATGTTAAAGAGAACTGCATCAATGTAAAAGCAACATCTTTCATGCATATGCTACGTCAAACTGAAGTCAAGTATGCCATGAGAAAGCGCTCAACATTCATAAAAGCATGCAGAGATCAATTAATTTCATCACCTTGTTTGACTGTGTCTCCGCAGAGCTCTGTTTGATCCAGGGATCCGTAGAGTTTCGGGGTGCTGCGTCCTTTCTCCATGCTTTCAAGCTCCACAACACACTTGAAGTTTGCGCTGGATGAGAATACCGCTGCTTTGCTCTTCGACCGGTGAATTAAAGCGCAGTTTGACTGATGGAGGTTTTTGACTCCATGTCCTCGGTGATGCACACGGTGATGCGCGCGCCGGCACCTGCTGCTGCTGATGCTGATGCTGTGAGTGAGTGTGTGGCACATTATTGATGCTCAACACAAGTATTCTCCCATTACCTGAAAGCGCCACCCTGTGAATAACGGGAAAAGTGACATTAAGTTAAAATCTCTTTGTTTACCTTCCGAGATTAAATTTTTTAAAAGATCAAATGTAGGCTACCCTTATGACAAAAATGACGAAATTTTTTTTGGGATGGAGACTTAACCTTTTAAGCTTAGAAAATGTGATAAATATGCGCTATTAAACATGCACACATTTTTTTAGGCCTAGAAAACAAGTTTTGTGAATTTAGTGTATTGTCATTACATTGTTTCGAGCATAATAAAAAAAAAAGAGGAAAAATAATAGTTTTGAAAAATGATATTTTGGTAGCACTGTAGTATAGGGACCATTTTCCACTGTTAACTGGTTGCTTATTAGCATGCCTATTATTAACATATTGGCTGTTTATTAGTACTTATAAAGCACATATTCTGCATGACCATATTCTACATTCCTAATCAATATCTAAACTTCACAACTACCTTACTATTATTAAGCAGCAAATTAGGAGTTTATTGAAGCAAAAGTCATAGTTAATGGTTTCTTAATAGCGAGAAATGAACCTTAAAATAAAGTGACCGGTATTTTATGCATGTTATGCTATGTCCTCTGTAGAGGACACCAGGACTAAAGATGATTCTCAATTATGTTATGAAAGATATAACAGAATGATTTGATATACCATTTTGCTTTATGCAGTATGTGTGTAAAATGGCCATAAGAGGGTTTTCCCATTGTATACACTATCTAATTTGCATATTAATGTGTTCTTGTGGCAACATGTTATGAAAAACGAAGTGTAATAATGCGAGTAATAATTGGCAACATTTTAAGAATAATATCTAATATTTCATAGGAATACTGAAACATAATTTATTTCCCTATTCATTTATTGTCAATAAACAATAAACCTGGTGTCCTCTACAGTGGACATGTATTAAATTGAACAAGTTTCGTAACAAAAAGTCATATTTTGATTTAAAACCCCATAACATTTTCCTGAGATGTTTTTTTTATGACAAAGAGTTTAAAAATTAGATTTAAATAAGAACAAAATATTATCATATTTCCATAAGAGTGTTACATTTTATAACTAAATTGTTAGCTTTTTTTTTTAAGCCCAAGGAGATGGAGTGGTCAAGGTGAAACTTCCAATCATTTGGTATCTCTGAAAAACCCTGAATGTGCTCGTTACAGGACATCCAGACTTAAAACTATGGCATGCACGGACTCTTGAAATTCACTAAAATATAATGTCCACTACAGAGGACAAAAGTCTATTCCTGCGTCCCAGGAGGTTATAAAAAAGTAATATGGACACACAGAAAGTGTGTATGCTTTTTGATTTCAAGTGCTTAACAACTATAGTGTTAACTGTCAGAACGTTTGGTTGAAATGTTACCAAAACAATTAATAAAATAAATACATACAATTCTTGTCATACATAAATTGGTTCATGGTTTAAAAATACTAATTAAATAATACAATTTTTTTTAAAAATCCCATTAAAATTGAAGAAAAACCTTTGAAAAATACTGTTACTTAGTAGGTGCGCAAATTTATGTAAAATCATATAAATAAAATATTTACATATTTTCTTGGGATGTTTTCTGTTAGTTCGAATATTTGTGGAAAGTCAAAGGTTATAAATATAACCAAAGCAAATTATAATGAGTATTTACCTTTAAAATGTGAATCGCTCTCAATCTTTGGGTCAGTGGACTCGATGCCTTTGTAATGTTCATATTCAAAAAAGGAAAAAGCAGACAGGCACTGTGACATTAATGCACTGTTTCATTAGAAAACACTTTCAGCGCTACAGCCTTTCCTCTATGATAACACAAGCATGTGCTTAAATTAATTTGAACTGTAAAACAAGTGATTTATCCCAGTTAACAGTCAGGACATAAAAGTTAAACATACAGTATGTTTGCACCGTGAATGAGGCCTACAGAAAATGTTTGTGTGGGTTGGGTTTCATCTTAAGGAAGTGTTATAATTTGAAGGCATCTTGCTGAACCATTAACAGCCTGGTTGCATTGATAGATTATGCTTCTGAAGCAACCCTTTGAGGAGAAAGCACTTTTAGCTATGTGGTCTGACCCTGGGGTCAATGCTGTTAGATTTGAGCTTTAATTCTGATCTAAAGGAAACCACATCAACACTGACACATTGCTATGCCATGAAATGCTGGGTCAAAGTACACCCCTTGTTACATTTAGACAAAATGACGAACGCTTGACTTCCTGCATTTGTTGAAAGATTAAATTATTTAATAGATATTTTTTGATTTCAAACAATGAAAGGTTAAGAATATGTATTCCCATCTCTCTCTCTGTTTTTTTAAAGAGTTGTCAGTCACAGACATGCCACTCTACAAACTGCTCTACAAGCTGTACAGGAACATTTACTCAAGAACAAGTTTGGGAAGCTTTTTCCCCCTCAATACAGGTTTGGCAAACTTAATTTCTAAGCCAAGTGTTCCCAATACCTTAAATTGGAAATAAGATACTTTTATTATGATTTTCTTCAATAAACCCCTGTGCTACTGACACTTAACTGTGGAAAATGTGAGTGCCTCATGCACAATAAATAAAAAACAAAGTCTCTGCATAACAGGCAACTGATGCTCAGCTTCAGATCACAAATATTTGCAAACCATAACAATGAGTGGTAAAGAAAGGGTGTGAAGATGTTTGCTTGTGTGGCAGAGAAGACATGCTTACTGTAAGCAAACAAACCAGATTAGCTCATCTCCAGTCATAGTCCATCAGTTTATGAAAAAGCTGGCCTGTAAAACAACAAATCTTCACAAAAAAACAGATGATGTACATTTTGGGATATTCAAGTATACTGTAATGATTCTCTCAAAGCCTTAAATAATCCCAAATAGAGATGTATCTGTCTTGAGAGAGTAATTAACTCATATAACTTCATCCATGATGGAAATTTTGATGAAAAATAAAATATGTCCTTACTTAGTTTTTTTTGTCTGATTTTATTACAAATATTTCAAAAACTAAATCAAGATACATTTACTTGAGAATGAAAATGACTTCAGATATTAAGTCATAAATGTGGTGTCAATGGGGTAAGAAAAATAATTCCCTTTAAATTATGTTTATTTTTCTTACCCCACTGACATATTTTTTCTTGTTTTAAGTATAAACATACTTTCCCCCCCCAGAAAACAAGACTTAATATCTTGAGAAGTATAATGACAAGATATGGAGTTGTTTTCTGAAAAAAATAAAATAAATAATAATAATAATAATTACAAAACAGGGTATCAATGGGTTAAGAAAAAATTACCTGTCCCTTTGACTTCAAAGTTATTTTTCTTACTCCACTGACAAATATATTTCTTTTTTAATCATAAACTTACTTAATTTTGATACATTATATTAGAAAACAAAACTTATGTCATTGGTTATGTCATCACTTGCATAATAAATGCATCTTTTTTTGTAATGGAAAACAAGACAAAAATACAGAGTAAGAAAATAATTCCTTTCAGTGTACTGAACAGTTTCAGTGTTATTTCACTCTTCTTTGCCCTCTGTTAAGAAGTCACTCTTTGCTTCCATTGATTAAGATTGATCCACTGTCCACTTGTTATTCCCTCTGGTGTCTTCCATAGCCGTCTCAAGCCAGTCGTTCTCCTGGTCTGACTCAGACTCGCTCATCTCTGTGTCGGCGGCCAGCAGGCGTGAATAGTTTATCCGGCGCTGCCGAGGAATCTTCCATTTGAGTACGGCAAGAGTGCTGCTCCACAAAGCCAGAGTGACCGCCATGCCTTGGAAAAGCACCTGGACCCCAAACTTTTGCACCACAAACCCAGCCGCTAGACTGCCAAACGCCGCTCCCAACTCCAGAGAAAGCACCTCAAACAGCCTTAAAATGGTCTTTTCGGTGCCGGGAGTGGCGATGTCTTCGCTTTGCGATGTTATGGACCACCAGAGGGCGCCGGTGCTGAAGCCCGCCAGCAGTTGAGCGGGTATTACAGCCCATGGGCCCCACAGGAAGGAATAATAAAGACACTGCAGGGCTAAACTAACAACGGCGAGTACTAGCAACCAACCGTGGTACTTTAGAAACCGGGAGAGATGGCTAGCAATTGGAGCAAAGCCAGTTTGGCATAAGTGAGCCAAGGCTAAAGAGATGCCCATGTGGATTTCGGTTGCACCGCAGTCCTGCATGTGCCATAAGAGGAAATCCGACACAGCTGAGCTCACCATGCCCATCAAAACGACAGTGGTGGCACAAAGTATCGCTTGCGAGTTCCCATGCACCAATTGTAGTGCCTTAAAGCCTCCACTAGTGGGCCGCTCACGCTTGCGGAGGTAGATAGGTAGCAGTGCAGCTGTAGGGATGGTTAGGATCATAAATACAGTGTAGGAGTAAAACTCCAATGTAGTTCCTGTAAGACAAAACAGGCTGGTTACAAGAACTCCAACCATACAGTTGCCAAAAGCGGCTCCAAGTGGCTTCCAGACCTTCACACCATTATAGCGATCGGTGGCGTCTATGAAATCCAAGTATTCGTAGAGTCCATCATCCGCCGTCCACTCCAACGGGGCGGCCATTAACTCCCACAAACCCATCACAATGAGAACCAGAAAGAACATCTGATGCTGGGCATCCATAACTTTTAGGCTCCCAAGGAACTCACTGTGAGGATCTTCTTCCTGTTCAGGCTTCTTCATAGATCTCAGGCCTCGTGCTGACCAGTTGGAGCTTACAAGTGTGGTAACTTCAACAGGGTGTTCGGTACTTACAGATATTTGGTTTATTGAGTAAACCGTAGCGTTTGATTGCGATGGGACCGTCGTCCTCTCTAGAATGGCAGTGGGATCAGCATCAGGTTGACTAGCGTTACACCATCCACTTTCAGCTTGGATTCCTGTGGACGGGAAGAGCAGAAGAGTCAAAACCACCAATGCCGAGCTGAGCAGAGAGCCCACTATGACCGCCCGCCGCTTGTCGTACTGTCTGGCGAGGACGCTGGATAACGGGCGCCACACCACAGCGAGCAGGTGCTTGGACGCCATGATGATACCAATCATGGTGGCGCTGAGACCCAGGTGTCGGAAGTAGAGGGTCAGGAAGGGAAGGAGGCAACCGGAGCCACAGGAATGGAGGAAGTGAAAGACGCCCGCCAGCCGCAAGGCTCCCTTCACATTCCACTGCTTGCTCTTCTGCATTGCTCCCTTCTTCATCATGTTTGTCGACTTCAGTTAGCACTCTGTGTGGATTAAAAATAAAATAAAATTAAGTGAAAAAATATATGCAACTTTACAGGTCAATTAAAGGGGTGCTATTATGCTTTTTCAACTTTAGTTAGTGTTGAACTTTAGTTAGTGTTTAGTTAGTTTAGTGTAATTTTGCTGTTTGAGCATAAAAAAAGATCTGCAAAGTTACAAAGCTCAAAGTCCACTTCAAAAAGAGATATTTTATTTAACAGAAATCCCTTTTCAAAAACTACAACGAACGACTCGTTTGGACTACAACGCATATTTTCCGGGATTTGTGATATCACAAATATCGTCGAATGGGACGAGACCTGGTTGAGCTGCACTAGAGAAGGAAACGAGTGTTATCACTATGTCAGAGACACGCTAGCTTTCCCAAGACAGACAAATTTAGAGTGGTTACAATCATCCGGGTTTAAATCGAACTCAAATAGATTTGATTTTGATGCAATATTTACCCTGAAGCTCGCAGGCGGCTATGGTAAGGGGCATGACATTTCCCGACCAGGCGCCGAGTGCTTCCAATCACATCACGCACTGGCCCAGCTAACCAATCACAGCACACACTGGCCCAGCTAACCAATCACAGCACATTTCGTATTTCAGAAGGCGGGCCTTCATTTGATACAGGAGCTATTCGAGCCGTTCATGCCAGACTGGGGAGAGAGGTGTTGTAATAATGTAAAATGTGAAAAATAATGTGTTTTTCGAACAACCTTGTATGAGAGCCTGTTCTAGTACACCCCCAAAACAAAATCAAGACTTTGTAAAAGAGCATAATAGGACCCCTTTAAGAACCGTATATAATGGTAAAGTGGTTGTATCAGTTTGTCAAAAAACAAACAAAAAAACGGCATTATTATGGTAGTACCATGGTACTTTTTGTGGAATGTTTAGAATTTTTGTTCCTTTGTTACAGATATTATTTACCTTCAATTAAATATTAAATAAATACAATAAATATAAATAGCCTACATAAATATATATTACCCATTTATGTCATTTTTTTATATCTATATCTATCTATCTATCTATCTATCTACACACACACATTTAAATGCTATTATAGCAGTACTATAGTAATACCATAGTACTCTTTGGTAGAAATTATATTTCATTTTACATTGTCTATTTCTAATGGGTAACACTATTTTACACCAAAGAAAACAATGCACTATTGTATTTAAATGGTACTTCAAGGTGTTTCATACCCATGACATTATCATTGTACTTTATAACATAACAAACAACATGGGTCAATTGGCTCCATATGGAGCAAAACTATCAAGTAACCTGCATTTAAATCATATGCACACAACACATCCCCTCACCATGATTTCCTAAAATAGGACACTTCTAGAAAACGAAACATCGTATGAGAGGAACGTAAATTAAAAGTGTATGTTAAAAAATACGGAAGAGAGCGTGCAGTCAGTGTATCGCAATTTCACAAAATGAAACCAGAAAGACCTCTTAGAGTTTAAGCAGATGTTTTCCATAAAAGCCTCTTGTAATCTTGCAAATCGTATGAGCTGGCTTAAAGAAGAAGAAAAAAGACAGACTTTTTAACATCTGCAAGAGTAGCCTTCACGACAAACTCTCCGTACAGGTAACATCATCATCGTGCACCTGTTGTGACACGTCGCGAGATTGCCGTTTACCTGAGATCTAACGTAGCCTATCCGTGAACTCATGGTTTGCTTGACAGAATATTGTCGATTAAAGTTTTCTTTGGCTCTTCATGTCCACACCGTATCCAGGTAAGGTGTAACAAGTTTTCTTTCTCTTTGCCAAACAACCAATGGCCGACCTCAGCGTATCGAGCAAACACTAGTTTACTACGCTACCTGTTGGTGAGAAGATGAACTTACAGTATAAAATTAGCAGTCACATGAGCCTTTACGCTGCAACTTTAATTGCCCAGCGGTTCACCTCTCTCTCCCAAACTGTACTTGGATTTTGAACTCGGCTGATGGGAGTATCCCGGGTCCAAGCATGGAGAAACTTCAACGCTGTGGGCAAAAGATTACATGTATGATTCCTCTGGAACATGTGTTACACACAAAAGGTCATGTTGGCCATTAATAAAAGCAAAAAAAGAAGGTCAATACTGTTGATATTTTATGTATAGAAAGGCATTATAATCTGAATGCTCACCTCTGGACATTCTTAAATGTTTTACGTGGGTCTTTATCCAAACAGACTGTGAATGTCCGCGCCTCTAGAACTCTGATATTGGCACTAACAGCTCTGAATGAATGCTAGAGAGAAAACAGGATTGTTACCTCAGTATTTCATTCAAGATTACTAAATGTAACATCTAGAACAGAAAAAAATCACTCTGTTATAAGTTTAACATGTTCACTTACTGTGCTGGGCCTTGTGGGATTCATATCTTGGAAACTTATGCTGACACTGTGTAGACCTGTAGACCAAAGCGCCACATTACAAGGAAACCTGTGTCTTTATTTCTTTGCTGTTTTCGTTGCAAAGGGAACATTTCAAATTTTCCTTTACTAATAGTACTAAAATGACTAAAAAATGAAACAAAATAAAAAATAAATAATCATCTTAAAAAAAGAATAAAAACTTTAACTAAAATGAAAATAAAAACAGAAAATATTAAAATAAAATATAAAATATTATTTAAAATGATAAATACTACAAAATTATATTAATGAAACTAAAATAAAATCATGTTAACACTAATAGCAATGCAGTCATTATAGCAATGACAAAGAATGTTTTAGTATTTTAAGTATGTGATATACTTCTGACTCTGCATGAAGGCAAGACGCTGATCAACATGCCACTTGTCGCCAAAGACATTCCCATCTCCTTTTCTCTATCACTTATTGAGGCCTAAAAGAAATGTAAACACCAAAACTTTTATGACAGATTCTGTATTGTAAGAACACTATGCATACAGTAGAAACTTTATCCAATTATTCTGCATATTATTTTTTGCACATTAAGCAAGTATTTAATTTAAATGTTTTTATTCAAAAGTAAACACTTTCTCCCGGGTCCAAGCATGGAGAAACTTCAACGCTGTGGGCAAAAGATTACATGTATGATTCCTCTGGAACATGTGTTACACACAAAAGGTCATGTTGGCCATTAATAAAAGCAAAAAAAGAAGGTCAATACTGTTGATATTTTATGTATAGAAAGGCATTATAATCTGAATGCTCACCTCTGGACATTCTTAAATGTTTTACGTGGATCTTTATCCAAACAGACTGTGAATGTCCGCGCCTCTAGAACTCTGATATTGGCACTAACAGCTCTGAATGAATGCTAGAGAGAAAACAGGATTGTTACCTCAGTATTTCATTCAAGATGACTAAATGTAACATCTGGAACAGAAAAAAATCACTGTTATAAGTTTAACATGTTCACTTACTGTGCTGGGCCTTGTGGGATTCATATCTTGGAAACTTATGCTGACACTGTGTAGACCTGTAGACCAAAGCGCCACATTACAAGTGAGGAAACCTGTGTCTTTATTTCTTTGCTGTTTTCGTTGCCGAGGGAACATTTCAAATTTTCCTTTACTAATAGTACTAAAATGACTAAAAATGAAACAAAATAAAAAATAAAAAATCATCTTAAAAAAAGAATAAAAACTTTAACTAAAATGAAAATAAAAACAGAAAATATAAAAATAAAATATAAAATATGATTTAAAATGATAAATACTACAAAATTATATTAATGAAACTAAAATAAAATCATGTTAACACTAATAGCAACGCTGTCATTATAGCAATGACAAAGAATGTTTTAGTATTTTAAGTATGTGATATACTTCTGACTCTGCATGAAGGCAAGACGCTGATCAACATGCCACTTGTCGCCAAAGACATTCCCATCTCCTTTTCTCTATCACTTATTGAGGCCTAAAAGAAATGTAAACACCAAAACTTTTATGACAGATTCTGTATTGTAAGAACACTATGCATACAGTAGAAACTTTATGCAATTATTCTGCATATTATTTTTTGCACATTAAGCAAGTATTTAATTTAAATGTTTTTATTCAAAAGTAAACACTTTATTTTGAAAGATTGTATTACTTTTATTCACATGTGACACTGAAGACGAGTAATGATGCTGAAAATTCAGCTTTGCATCACAGGAATAAACTTCACCAAACTTTTAAATAGTAGTGTATATTAAAAACATAATACCAGACTTTCACCTTTTGACATGGAAATCAATCCACCCTCTCTTCAATCATGAAAAACTTTTGGTAAGCTAAAAGGACATAGTATCATAACAAAATTAACAATTCGTCTAACTCTCGCATGCTCTTTAAAACATTTTCCTCCCTCATTTGTCCTCCTCCTCTCCCTCCTTCATCAACTCTAACAGCTAAAGACTTTGTCACGTTCTTCTTTAATAAAATTAAAACCATCAGTGCACAATTTTCCACACCACAATCTGTCATGCACATCTTACCAGCAAACATACACTTGTTCACATCCTTCTTTTAACTCTCTGAGGCAGAAGTCTCCAAACTCATCCTTTCTAATCATCCTACTACTTGTCCACTTGATCCTATTCCATCTCATCTCCTTCAAGCTATTTCTCCTGCAGTTGTACCTGCACTCACTCACATCATTAACACATCCCTTCACACTGGTGTTTTTCCCTCAGCATTTAAACAGGCTCATATAACCCCACTACTTAAGAAACCACCCTTAACCCATCTCTTTTTTAGAACTATAGACTGGTTTCCCTTCTTCCTTTCATTGCAAAAACACTTGAACGAGTTGTGTTCAACCAAGTCTCTGCCTTTCTCACACAGAACAACCTCCCTGACAGCAACCAGTCTGGTTTCAGAAGTGGACATTCAACTGAGACTGCCTTGCTCTCAGTTGTTGAAGCCCATAGACTGTCAAGAGCAGATTCCAAATCTTCAGTACTTATCTTGTTGGATCTGTCTACTGCTTTTGACACAGTTAACCACCAGATCCTCCTGTCAACCCCATTGGCAAAGGGCATCTCAGGAATAGCACTCCAGTGGTTTGAGTCTTACTTCTCAGATAGGTCCTTCAAGGTGTCTTGGAGAGGTGAGGTATCCAAGTCGCAACAGCTAACTACTGGGGTGCCTCAGGGCTCAGTTCTTGGACCACTTCTCTTCTCTGTCTACATGGCATCACTAGGTTCTGTCATTCAGAAACATGGCTTTTCATATCACTGCTATGCTGATGACACTCAACTCTACCTCTCATTCCATCCTGATGATCTAAAGATAGCTGCTCGCATCTCAGCTTGTCTAACAGACATTTCTTGCTGGATGAAGGACCATCACCTTCAACTCAACCTTTCCAAGACAGAACTGCTTGCGGTTCCATCAAACCCATCGTTTCATCATAATTTCACCATCCAGTTAGGCACATCAACCATAACTCCTTCAAAAAGATCCAGAAACCTTGGAGTTATGATTGATGATCAGCTGACTTTCTCAGACCACATTGCTAAAACTGCTCGGTCCTGCAGATTTGCTTTATTCAACATCAAGAAGATCAGGCCCTTTCTTTCGGAACATGCTTCACAACTCATTGTTCAAGCTCTTGTTCTGTCCAGGCTGGACTATTGCAATGCTCTCTTGGTAGGTCTTTCAGCCAGTTCTATCAAACCTTTACAATGAATCCAGCAGCAAGATACATTTTTAATGAGTCAAAAATAATGCACATCACATCTCTGTTCATCAATTTGCACTGGCTACCAATAGCTGCTCGCATAAAATTCAAGGCGTTAATGTTTGCCTACAAAACCACCACTGGCTCTGCACCCCTTTACCTAAATTCATTACTTCAGACTTATGTGCCCTCTAGAAGTTTGCGTTCTGCAAGTGAACGTTGCTTTATTGTGCCATCCCAAAGAGGCACAAAATCACTTTCACAGACTTTTAAAATAAATGTTCCCTCCTGGTGGAATGACCTGCCCAACTCAGTCCGAGCAGCTGAGTCCTTAGCCATCTTCAAGAATCGCCTAAAAACACATCTCTTCCATCTTTATTTGACCCTCTAACTCTAGCACTCTCTATTCTAATTCTATTCTTTAAAAAAACTTGCCCCCTTTAGACTTACACTCTTTTCGTTACTAACTGCTTTTTAAAAAAAAAGCATAAAATGCCTCTAACACTAGCTTGCCCTATTCTTTTTCTATTATATCTGTTTTCATTTGATTTATTATATAATTAAAAAAAGCCTTGCTATGTGTACTGTGTTAAGCTAACTGAGACTTGTTATAGCACTTGCTTATCATGGCTCTTTTGTTGACTTTAATTGCTTCCATCGTCCTCATTTGTAAGTCACTTTGGATAAAAGCGTCTGCTAAATGACTAAATTAAAATAATCATCGCACAATTCAATCCAACCTTGACAGAGTAGATGGGAAGGTGCACCGGACGCTGGCTGACACGTGTGTAGTATGAGATGATATCTAGCAGGAAGGTGTTGGGGTCTGAAGATTCACTCTGAGTTGATTTCTACAATGACATCAATTAAGAGGAAGGTTTAAAAACTCCCTGAATCGCTAAATATACATATATATTTATATCAAGTAGAGAAGCATGTTCTCAGTTTGATTTGGCAAATAATAACTGTAGACAGACATACATACAAAGGTAAACATAGCAAAAAATAAATAAATTGCAAAACACCAATTTTTACGGCATTTTTCAAACACCAAGAAATAATTTCAAAAAACAGTTAGCCTACATGATCTTAATTTCACTGAAATAATTACACGAATGTACCCTTATTAAAGTAACAGTAGAGTCAAAAACATTCAGCGCAACTACTAACGTTGAACTGCTGAGCGAATTACACGTTTGAGTCTGTTCTTTTTGGAAAATCAACACATACAGTGCAGCTGACCGCCAAAGAAATGTTTCTTACGAGCTAGTTAGTTAAAGGCACAATCTAAAAAAGATTTTTTTATTAAAATATCCAAAAACCACTAGAACAGTTTTGTATATTTTGCTGACTTGTGTACTTACATTATCCCAAATGTTTCGAAGAATGTTTAAATCCAGAGAAATAAGCAATTTTAACTAGTACTATAGTGTCATTGTGTCGCCAGCCAATGACGTCATACACCCTCGATTTCCGGTTTTGTTTTGTAGAAAACATGGAAACACCAAAGACGCTTTAATATGCTATGCATTTTATTAGACAGGTGACGACCGCACAGAGTAGCATTATAACAGAACGTTCAAATGTATCTAGTATGATAAAACAGCGCTGCTTACTTCCGCTGCTTTCTGGAAGGAGCGGAAGCGGTGGACTGTGGCATAATAAAAACTCCGCTGCTTTCGAGCCGTGTGTCGCGCTCGTTCAGCGGCCTCGTTTTGCTTCGACGGCTTGCCGCCTCACTCTGCTTCATTCTACGACGTTAATACATTTTTAATACATTAGCTCATCCATGAACATGATTTCTGCCCGAGTCCCATCGGATTGCTTCGGCTGTGGGGATGAAGATGACAACTCCCATGATTCCACACTCAGTCACAGCGTTATCAAACTACGCCTTTGTTTCTTTGTTTGTTTTGAATATGTGCCCTCTAGTGGCAAAAAATTACATGTTGTGCCTTTAATCAAAAACATACAGCATCCCTAGTGTCCGTTTCTCAAACAAATCGGTTCTTTTTAGTGAATCCAAAAAATACAATGCAACCAGTTCGACTGTCGAATGAATGACTCTTATGAACCTTAATTTAATTTTTTTAATAGTGAATCAAACACATTCAGCACACCCAGCGTACTCCGACTCTCGAACGAATGACTTTAATGAGACGGTTCTTCGTAGTGAATCAAACACATACTGTGCAGTGTCCGCAGTGTAGTCTGACTCCCGAACAAATAATTTTTATGAGCCGATTCCTTTTAGTGATTCAAAAATATACACCATCTCCAATGTAGTTTGACTCCTGAACGAATGACCCTTATGATCCGGTTCTTTTAGAACCGAACACATTTACAAATATCTGTATCAATCAGTGTTGTTTCTGACTAGTTGTTCATATAACAAAGTGATGTTAAATATACATATTATGCACTTTGTCAGTATAAAAAAAATAAAAGAATGAAAAATTCTATCACATTTTCAGTCTGTTTAGTATTGTTACTTAATATATAGCCTAGTTAAGGCAAACAAAAAATACTGTCATTTTGAAAATCCATGCAAGATGTAAACATAACTTTTGCAATGATTATTCTACACGTATTTATGTAATATATGTAATATAATATAATACAATAATATATGTAATATAATATTTATCCCATAAAAGCATTTAAAAGACTGATGGAACAGCTAAGGATCCGGAATTTGAGATGAGCGGGAAGGTGTTGGGGTCCGAAGATTCCCTTTGACTTCACTGCTACAATGACATCAATTAAGAGGAAGGTTAAAAAAACTCCCCAAATCTCTAAATATATAGGCCTATATATATTTATATCAAGCAACCAAGCAGAGAAGCATGTTCTCAGTTCACACTCCACACATTATAGAAATGATAAAGATACACAAAGTCTTCTGTGCTGTTGTAACAGGACTCAGAATAAATCATTTAAATATTTTTCCACTTTCATTCTCATTAATCTTTGTCAATGTAAATGTAATTTCATTTAATCTATGCAAGATGTAAACATACATGTTGCAATGATTATTTAACATTTTTACTGAAAAAAAAACTGATTTAATAATGGAATTTCATTTCTTTTTTCCACATATTTTTCCCATTAAAATATTGTTAATGGGACTGCAAAGGATCCCGGAGTAGATAAAAGAAGAAATGAGAAAAAAAATTCCCATTTATATTGTGGACTCTTCAAAAGTGTAATAAGTACCATCTGGGCCAGTTTTAGTATCATGGCTCCCAAACCGTTGATATTACAGTCATACCACGGATCCACGCTTCCCAAATATCTTGCCAATGTCAGCATGTCTTCAGGAACACCCTCCTGGAAAGCACATGCATTACAGTGAGCTGTCATTGCTGGTGTTTTTTAAATGAAAAAGCAAAATCTATTTTACCTGAACAGGAGAAAGCGTCTGGTCAGTCACTGGAATGTAATACATCTCCATATTCACTCTCTTTGTCAGCAGCAGATGTCGTGCCTCCCTTTTCCTGAGCACAAACATAGAAAGATGAAAACATCAGAAATTAGACTCAAACGTTTTTAAATGCAAAGGCAAAATGTGTAAAAGAATGGATGCAAACATCTTACCGTATAGTGTGGAGAGTCTTGGCGAGCCGTCCTAGTGTTCTGTCGTCACCCATTACAAGGATCCGGGCCGTGAGGTTCCTTTCCTCTTTAGTGAGGCTGTATCCTCCATTTCCCTTAATGGCCTCCATCATGAGCGTCATTCTGTTGCCAGCTTTGGGGCATCGCACACACGGCCTCCTGTTGAAGGACTGAGAGCTGCTCTGCTCCTCTGGGCCGCCCTGAGACTCCAGCATTATAGAGGAGAGCTCGCTGATGGGCATGTCTCCCTCTATGCCGCTGTCCGTGGACACGGTGGACACAACAGAAGTACGCTTCAGGTCATCCTCATCCAGACAAGCAGAGTTTCGGTCCGTAGGAACCATAAGTGCAAAGTTAACCAGCTCATTCCCTGTTTAAAAGAAAATGTAAAACGCACCGTGTTGGATTTGTTTTACATGAAAGCTTGTTTCCACCATGAGATAAAAATATAAAAAATAATTTCACAAGCAATTTTGAAAAAGAAAAAAAAGTCAAAATTATAAGATATAAACTCACAATACAGAGAAAAAAAGGCAGAACTCTCACTATTTTGTCCTATTTCTCTGCATGTCGAGTTTACATCTCGCAATTCAGTTTTTTTGTTTCCACCACAAATACAAAATAAAAATTGCCACTTTTTTAATCTCACAATTCAGACTCTTCTTATGAAAATTGCAATTTTTTTAATATCTCACAATTGTAAGTTAACGTCTCACAACTCTGACTTTTTTCTCTGAATTCTACATTTACATCTTACAATTCTTTTTTTCCACCAGAGAATTAAAAATTAACAGGTAATCAACACCTTTTATCTCATAATTCAGGCATTTTTTCGAAATTGCGAGTTAACATCTCACAATTTTGACTTTTATTTCTCTAAATTATGATTTTCTATCTGCTAATTCTGACTTTTTTCTCTGAATTTACATATTGTAATTCTCTTTTTCTCTCTTTTTTTTCAACATGGAATAAAAAAATTTATTGTGACTTTTTATCTAACAATTCTGATTTTTTTTCTCTCGTAATTGTGAGTTTATATCTTTTTTTTTTACATCTCACAATTGTGAGCTCTACACTGTAAAACATTAGTGTAATTGTAACTGTAAAATATTATAAAAATGCTACGGGAAAAAACTGTTAATAGGTTAACAGTACGTTTCCACAGTATACTATATACAGGGAAAAACTGTAAATTTTTAAAAAAGTTTTTAGAAGTAAAAAAGAACAAATCAATGTATAATTTAAAGTCAAAAATGTTTTAACTGATATTCCCAGAATTCCCTGCGTGACACTCCACATTTGAAAGTATTTTGTTTAAATAATCATGTTTCTTAATAGTTTATGTTATCAGTTATGTTCATTTGGGGTTTATGTTACATCTTCGGTTGTTTAATGACTGTTTATTGCATTATTTTAGTGTCATGTGTGTCACCATGTAGGTGTTTTGTGTTTCGGTGAATGGCACTTTCTGTATACTATATACTTCAGCTTGTGGGAAAGCTACTTGTTATGAACTTTGATTTTTCATGAGGCTTCATCTTTTACCATCTGCGTTATTATGGTGGTTGTCAGTATATGTTAAAAGTACAAAATAGATTTAAGTAGCAGTATGCGTTGTTGAATTTACTGGTTTAGATTCAAATCTTCTTGTGTATACCGTAAAATTTACAGTTTGTTCTGTTTTTCTGTATTTTTTACAAAATTATTATGGCAACAACAGCTGCCAAAATTATTTTGTAAAAACGACCTAATTTTTTACAGAGTAAACCTGCAGTTTATATCTCAGAACGTCAAGAAAAAAGTCTGAATTGTGAGATAAAAAGGTCACAATTACCCTTTTATTTTTTTTCTGTCGCAGAAAGAAGCTTTCTTAGTTTTAAGGGTACAAGCATTTGTTGAAATAACAGCAGTTGAGCTCACATATCTCATCCTCTTTGGTCCAGACATGGAAGCTGACCTCAGGACTGGGCAGCTGAGTTTCTGCTTGCGAGGCTGGACATGACGGATCTAAAAAGACCAAACGTGTGAAATAACTACATGTTTGAGCTTGTTTGGAATAAATAGTGTCTTACTGGAAAGTGTTGAGGACATTTCTACCTTTGGCAGCAGTCAGGATGTCTTGGTAGAACTCTTGCAATCTTGTTTTGTACTGATTATCATCAGAAGGTCCATCTTCTGTTCTCTGCTCTAGGATGGTGACTAGATCCTGGAAGTGGAGTGCCAGCTCTTCACCTAAATGCTGAAATAAACAAAATATGCACAGTTATATAGGGTACAGGATTTTACAGCAAAGACTTTATGGACATCTTAAATGATTAACAGGATCAAACTTGATTATATTTATTAGGGGTTGAATGACTTCTGATTTTTTAAAGTCGACTTTTATCATCAGTCGTCAGATTTCTGCTCGTTCTAAATCAGATACAGATAAAGTAGCACAGTAAAGATTACATTCATATGAATGCATTAGTGAGAGTGATTGCGTGTGTGAATTAATTCTACCTGGCAGTGTCTCTCTACTAGTAGTGAAGCTGTGGGATTTAGTTAAGAAATATATGCTTGAACTTTTCAGTTTCTAAGCTATTTTATTGAGAAATCACAGAACAGTGTTGACAATACATTTCCGCGCTGAATGATTCTGTGCACGCGTGTGCGTGATGTAGGAGCTACTGTCTGTAATGTGTGTGCATTACAGTGCAGCAACGCATTAGATTAGAACAGCGATTACGTGCATCGTACCGTTCAATTTTGAGCATCCAGTAATATAATCACACATGTCTTGTGAAGCGCTTTCAGAGCATGCATTTATTTGTCATTTTAACTGTTTGGAAATGGAGCGAAAAAATGTGGAAGTCCTTCAAAGATTTCTTATCCTGTTGCGCCCTCTATAGGACCAGCGACTAGTCGACGTCAAGCTTAAAGCGTCATGGCAGAGCATTGAAGTCGACTAGTCGGTGCAACCCCTAATATTTATCAAGCTTCACCACATGTGATATTGTGCTACAGGTTTTTTTGCTACTGAAATTCGCTCTTATAGTTTCTCCAAACACATACGTTTGCAATATCTTCCATAAGATTATACATATATATATACATATATACAAAAATGTAATTGTTTTTTTAAGTATATTAACCCATGTAAAACTTAATCTATACAGTTTTTTTTTCACAGAAAATTTTATTTCAGTTTTATTTTATTGAGTAAAACGCATTAAATTGATCAAAACTGACAGTAAAGACTTTTACATTATTACAAAAAAAAATTATGTTTCAAATGAACGCTGCTAATTTTAACGGTTACACTTTACTTGAAGGGGTGTGCATAAGACTGACATGACACCTTCATAATCATGACATGACACATGTCATGAATATGAAGGGTTTTTATGCATGTTTATGACAACTGTCATTAAGTGTCATTCGCTCAGTTATGTAATTTTTAATGCACAGATGACATTGTTTGAGATGTCTTTGTTATGGGCTATGGTTAGGGGTAAGGGTAGGGGTAGGGTTACATGTCAGTCTTATGCACACCCCTTCAAGTAAAGTGTTACCTTTTTAACTTTCTGTTCATCAAGAAATGTCATGGTTTCCACACAAAAAATATTAAGCCGCACAAATGTTTTCAACATTGATAATTATAAGAAATGTTTCTTGAGCAGCAAATCAGCATATTAGAAAGATTTCTGATTAGATGTGACACTGAAGACTGGAGGAATGATGCTGAAAATTCATATAGTCTTTATAAATGTAGCCTTGTTGAGTAAAAGGCACTTCTTAAAAAAAAATTATACCAACTCCAGAGTTTTCAATGGTAGTGTATATAATAAAAAAAAATAATAATAATTTAATCCTATGGGATGGGTATTATATATAAATGGGTGGGATGGGATAAATATGAGATGGGTAAAATATATAACAGATGTTTTTAAACACCACAAACCTCTAGAGACTGTGAGAGCTGGTCAACCTGGCACTTCTTTCCTAATCCAGCTCGCATTGTGTGCAGTAAAACTCTGCGTTTGTAGATCATTGAGTCTCTACCAGGGTCTGCACACTCCACATCAGCCTTGAGCGCACTCACCAGAGACAGAGGAAACACAACAGGATCTACAAACACAAACACCCTGATGAGAGAAAGATGGAGAGAGTTGCACACAGTGATGAGTGGTGAGTTATGCATTTATGAATAAAACAATGAACTGTGGATTGGGCACAGACATGTAAAGTTCTTTCTTGTAAAAAGGCATAGTAATAAGAAAAATCGTAAATGAGTCACTATGGTTTGACTTACTGAGCAATGTGGGCAGAATTTAAATATGTAGGTGAAATTAGTTATTAAGAATAGTATATCGCTAACAAAAATAATAAAAATAAAGAAGAGAAATAATATCTGATTCAGAAACAAGCAACCGTTTGTTCAAAAATTAAAGCAAGGTGGAGAGGCTGCAAAACAGAACCATTCGAAAAGTGCGGGGTCGATAAGATTTTTGTATGTTTTTAAGTCTCTTATGCTCACCAAGGCTGCATTTATTTGATAAAAAATTAACAGTAGAAATAGTAATACTGTGAATTTATTCCTGTGATGGCAAAGCTGAATTTTCAGCATCATTACTCAGGTCTCCAGTCTTCACTGTCGCATGATCTTCAGAAATTATTCTGATATGCTGATTTGCTGCTCAAGAAACATTTCAGATTTTTTTTCAATCAATGTTGAAAACAGTTGTGCTGATTATTATTTTTATGAAAGCTACAATATAAATTATTACAAATAATATAAGCATAAATTCATTCATTTGAAATATTTTTTTTAACAATGTGAAAAAGTCTTTATTGTCACTTTTGATCGATTTAATGCATCCTTATTAAAATAAGCATCGATTTATTAATAATTATTCTTACTGTCTCCAAACCTTTGAACAGTAGTATGTAAAATGATGAGAATCTGAATAACCTGGTATTACACTTACTTCTCATGGAGTGGATAAAGATCATTGCATAGATTGTGTTCGGCACTGACTCTCCTCTGATACAGTATTCCTAAAATAGATTAAAAACAGCACCTGAAAAATGTTTCAATGTTATGAATATGCTAGTATCGAAAACAGAATATATAAAGGGGTCCTATTATGCTCTTTTACAAAGTCTTGATTTTGTTTTGGGGGAGTACTAGAACAGGCTCTCATACGAGGTTGTTCGAAAAACACATTATTTTTCACATATTTTAAGTGAAAGTGACGTGAGATGTGGCCAAGTATGGTGACCCATACTCAGAATTAGTGCTCTGCATTTATCCCATCCAAAGTGAACACACGCACACCGTGAACACACACGCCATTTTTGCTGCGGCGCCCAGGGAGCAGTTGGGTGTTCGGTGCCTTGCTCAAGGGCACCTCAGTCGTGGTATTGAAGGTGGAAGAGAGCGCTGTACATTTACTCCCCCACCTACAATCCCTACCGGTACAAGACTCCTTTGGGTTACGAGTCCGACTCTCTAACCATTAGGCCACGACTTCCCATTATTACAACACCTCCGACATAGTGATAACACTCGTTGCCTTCTCTAGTGCAGCTCAACCAGGTCTCGTCCCATTCGTCGATATTTGTGATATCACAAATCCCGGAAAGTATGCGTTGTAGTCCAAACGAGTCGTTCGTTGTAGTTTTTGAAAAGTGATTTCTGTTAAATAAAATATCTCCTTTTGAAGTGGACTTTGAGCTTTGTAACTTTGCAGATCTTTTTTATGCTCAAACAGCAACATTACAGACTAACTAAAGTTGAAAAAGTGAAAAAGCATAATAGGACCCCTTTAAGTCGTATCTGTGGTACATCTTCGCAATGTCTTAAATTTGATCTAGATAAACTGTATCCAAACATGCTGTCTCCTCGCATGAATGGTGGTTAGTAAGAAATACTCATGTAAACAAAATCAGGTTAAATGAGTGCATCTTACTGAAAATGAAACTCCAAAAATCCAGTTTAACAATTTTCTTGATACATGGAAAGCGTCCCAGTTTAATTCTGGTTTAACCCCAGATTTACACCAAAAATGCTTTTATTGCTTTAATCTAACTGTATATATTACCTGGTGCATTTTGTTCCATTTTCATCTGTCTTGCATAGTTGAGAGCGATTGCACAGTAGGGTTCAGGTAACGTAACTAAACTTTTCAGGCAAAAATACATCCTTCGATATAGATCTTCTGGAATAAATACAGACTGAAATAAAGCAGAAAACCCGATGAGTAACACGCATCACACACAGCTGAAAAACAACCCAATCATGTTGATTTCCAGTTAAGACACAAGGAACTGTTCCTACAATAACACATCTGCCGGGAACTTGCTTACAGACGCATTCTGTATCACTGACTGGAAACAAAAACAAAACAAACAAAGCATTCGCAGACGCTGTGGAAAAAACAAAGCTAGAAATCTGACCTGTAGGACCGTGTAGACAAGTGTGTGAAGTAAAGGAATAATGCGAATCTTGGAATTGATTCTCTCCGCCTGGAATAAATCAAATCAAGGACAAAACAGCTTATTATTCACTGTAAAAATCTTTGGATGTTCTGCACAGATCTTTGATGTCTATAACTTGAAAGAATGACTGAGGAACAAACCTTTTCAAGCTCTTTTATGAGAACCCTCAAAAGAGGGACACTGATAGATGGATTTTTGTCCACCCTGTTATGCAGAGTCCATCTCAACATGCCTACACACACACACACACACACACACACACACACACACAAAGATGTTTTCTTAAATATATGTAACAATACAACATATAATCTTGAATTGTGTAGGCTACTTTTTGGTGCTTTTTCAGAGCTTGGCAGATGTGATTATGATGAACTATCATATCGAGCTCCAAGCATTCTTAAATGCTTAACATACAGGTTTGGAGCATTTTTGGTTGAACTGTTCCATTAATCACTTCATATACAAGGGAATAGCATATTTTCTTTCACCTCTATCCAGATATCAAACACATGATATCTCCAGGCTATATGACACATTTTAGAGATATAAAATGCATAGATTTGTATGACCTTTTAGTTTAGATTTTCATAGTAAAGCAGATACCTTTATTGCAGGCTGATCCAGCCTGAGGTTTACAGTCCAGTTCTCTGAGGATGGAATGGACATTGTGGTAGAGACTAGACTCCACGACTGAGGACACATCACAGACTGCAAAACAGTTCACACAGCTCCTTTAATTCTCATGTAACATGAACAATTCAGTTTGAAAACTTCAGTCCTAAATTTGCAGATTTAAGCTTTTAAGAAAAAGTATTAATATATACACTACTGTTCAAAGTTTTGGGTCAGATTTTTTAAGTCTCTTATCCCTATAGAGAAAAAAATATACTAAAATGTATTTGTAATATATTTATTTTGTGCTAAGTATTCTACAAAAACATTTACATTTTAATGTGCTTAATAAAAATACCCTGTAATTGTACTTTTGGTATACTAAACTGGTATACTTAAGTATACCAGTTTAGTATACCAAAAAATGCACTTTGATTGTGTACTTCCACACAATGAAAGTGCATTAAGCATAAATGAGTTTTAAGTTAAAACTCATTTATGCTTAATGCACTTTAATTGTGTGGAAGTAGTGCTGAAGTCCAACTAAAGATATACTGAAGTATATTTGATTGTGCTAAAGTGGAACTATTGCAAGAATACTTCAGGTACATTTTAAATATCTTGCATTTAAAGACTGATATTATTCAGAGATCATACAATCCTTATTAATAGTGATATTAAAACACATTTTAGGCATAATATTAAGAAATGTGCATTGTGCAATAAAGAAATACTCCAAGTAAAGTTTAATTATAATTTTATATCAGTAAGTCTTAAGTGATGTGTCAATAAATATGTTAACGGATTTGAAGTATACTTAAAATGAAATAAATTTTAAATAATAAATAAATTATGGCATGTGTTTTTTTTATTTTTTACTAGGGATGCTCACAAAGGGTTCATTTGCTTACAGACGCATTCTGTATCACTGACTGGAAACAAAAACAAAACAAACAAAGCATTCGCAGACGCTGTGGAAAAAACAAAGCTAGAAATCTGACCTGTAGGACCGTGTAGACAAGTGTGTGAAGTAAAGGAATAATGCGAATCTTGGAATTGATTCTCTCCGCCTGGAATAAATCAAATCAAGGACAAAACAGCTTATTATTCACTGTAAAAATCTTTGGATGTTCTGCACAGATCTTTGATGTCTATAACTTGAAAGAATGACTGAGGAACAAACCTTTTCAAGCTCTTTTATGAGAACCCTCAAAAGAGGGACACTGATAGATGGATTTTTGTCCACCCTGTTATGCAGAGTCCATCTCAACATGCCTACACACACACACACACACACACACACACACACACACAAAGATGTTTTCTTAAATATATGTAACAATACAACATATAATCTTGAATTGTGTAGGCTACTTTTTGGTGCTTTTTCAGAGCTTGGCAGATGTGATTATGATGAACTATCATATCGAGCTCCAAGCATTCTTAAATGCTTAACATACAGGTTTGGAGCATTTTTGGTTGAACTGTTCCATTAATCACTTCATATACAAGGGAATAGCATATTTTCTTTCACCTCTATCCAGATATCAAACACATGATATCTCCAGGCTATATGACACATTTTAGAGATATAAAATGCATAGATTTGTATGACCTTTTAGTTTAGATTTTCATAGTAAAGCAGATACCTTTATTGCAGGCTGATCCAGCCTGAGGTTTACAGTCCAGTTCTCTGAGGATGGAATGGACATTGTGGTAGAGACTAGACTCCACGACTGAGGACACATCACAGACTGCAAAACAGTTCACACAGCTCCTTTAATTCTCATGTAACATGAACAATTCAGTTTGAAAACTTCAGTCCTAAATTTGCAGATTTAAGCTTTTAAGAAAAAGTATTAATATATACACTACTGTTCAAAGTTTTGGGTCAGATTTTTTAAGTCTCTTATCCCTATAGAGAAAAAAATATACTAAAATGTATTTGTAATATATTTATTTTGTGCTAAGTATTCTACAAAAACATTTACATTTTAATGTGCTTAATAAAAATACCCTGTAATTGTACTTTTGGTATACTAAACTGGTATACTTAAGTATACCAGTTTAGTATACCAAAAAATGCACTTTGATTGTGTACTTCCACACAATGAAAGTGCATTAAGCATAAATGAGTTTTAAGTTAAAACTCATTTATGCTTAATGCACTTTAATTGTGTGGAAGTAGTGCTGAAGTCCAACTAAAGATATACTGAAGTATATTTGATTGTGCTAAAGTGGAACTATTGCAAGAATACTTCAGGTACATTTTAAATATCTTGCATTTAAAGACTGATATTATTCAGAGATCATACAATCCTTATTAATAGTGATATTAAAACACATTTTAGGCATAATATTAAGAAATGTGCATTGTGCAATAAAGAAATACTCCAAGTAAAGTTTAATTATAATTTTATATCAGTAAGTCTTAAGTGATGTGTCAATAAATATGTTAACGGATTTGAAGTATACTTAAAATGAAATAAATTTTAAATAATAAATAAATTATGGCATGTGTTTTTTTTATTTTTTACTAGGGATGCTCACAAAGGGTTCATTTATATGATCAAACATATAATAAATACAACATTAATGCAAACTATTATTGCCATTTTAAATAAGCATTTTCTATTTTAATATATTGTAAAGCGTAGGGTAATTATTCCTGTGATTCAAAGCTGAATTTTCAGTCTTCAGTGTCACATGATCCTTCAGAAATCACTCTAAAATGCTGTTTTGCTGCTCAAGAAACATTTCTTATGGTTTTTAATGTTGAAAACAGTTGTGCTGCTTAATACTGTTAATGAAAAACCATGATAAATTATTATTATTTTCATTTTATGATAATAAAAAATATAAATGTATATGAAAAAATCCTACTGACCCTTAACTTTTGAACAGTAATAAACTGTAGTCTACAGTAATATACTATAGTGTACTCCCATAGTGTACACTATTAAATAAATATTATACTATGGTGGGTGAATAAAACTACTAAAATGGAAGAAATCCAGACTATAAAATACAGCTGAAATAAATGTAAAGCTTAGACCATTTTAACATCAACATCAAACCCTCAGAAAGAAAGTTTCCGTGCAATAATAAAACTAAACGTAATGTATGAAACGGAACTCGGTAATCTATAACAGACTAGCAAGTGTCAGGAAAGAGTGTTTTTAGTACATGTTTCTTCCATGGTGGGGTTCACAGCTCAGATAATATCCACATGACATGGATGAGTCAGTTAGAAAGGTCCTTCATGTCTGCAAGCACAAAAAAGAGAGAACACGCTCTTGTGTAAGCACACAGACACATCAGCAATATCACAATGCACGATATACTTTTTCTGCATGTTATGCCCATTTCCTGCATTGAGATTACAGTGTGTCAAAATAGAGAGCACAACACGGATGCAGAAAAGACCCTACAGTTCTCGGCACAGGAAGCAGAATTCAAAGGGGTGAAAACCTCAGGGGTTTTCATGTTGACAGAAATGTTGTTATTTCTCATAAATCATGCGTTAGACATAGTTATATATCTACATTTAACAAATGAATGAGCTTCAAACATATTAAATCAGTAATTCTCAACTGACGATTCACAACCCAAAAACAGGCCGCAGATGGCGGGGCAAAAAAATTATTTTAAATGCAAATAATAAAATGCAATTAATCACATAATCTCGCACAGGATAGCAAAATAAATAAGCAACTCTAAAAAGGAAGAAGAAAATGCTTCCTATATCTTTTGTTGTCATGACAAAGGCTGTACGGTACTTTGCTTTTAATATACTATAGTGTTTGTTCTGTTATTTAAATCACACTTTCGTTGTTTATGCAATTGTTTAATTTAAGAATGGTGCATATTGTTGGGCCTGTGCGGTTTATCGTATACTATTACTAAACTTAATGTGTGATTTTAATTCCCTTTTATTTGTATTGCGCTTTTCACCATGCATATCTTTTCAAAGCAGCTTTACAGAAATATCTACATTACAATTAAGAGTGATCCATATACCCAAAACGTACAGTTCTAAGATTTTACAAATTATGCAGCTAGTTAATGTCACCTATTCATTTATAACTATTCATTTATTTTAAGGTTACTTCCCTATACTAAGCGTTTGGCCATTGCATTGGGTCGCCACTTGATGCTCAACTGAGAACAACTGCACTAAACAACCTTATTTTTATTTCATTTTGACAAAAGCTTCTGCTTTCTTCCCACCCAAAACAGTACATTTTAATAAATTATTCTTTGATTATTATTATACTACAGACAAAAATTACGTGCAAAACAGAAATGCACAGTCAATTCCTACCTTCTATGCATAAAACCGCTGTTACAAGGAACTGTGAAACTGTGGTAATCCCAGTCGGCTTCCCAGCAGAAGGTATTCGAATAATCTTCCTGTCAGATCATCTGTATGAGTGCCTACCTGTGCTAAAAGGAAGAAACAGGCACTTCACTGCCTTGACATTCAAATGCTGTCTTTCTCTCTCATACACAGACAGACTGAAGACTAGACTCGGTTGGTTTCCTGCAATACAAATGTGTAGCTAAGCAGCTATTTTTAGACTCTAATTTTTTTCACCTTTCACCAGCGTGCGGAGTAGAAAGGCCCACCTCGCTCAGAAACTCATGCTTGTCACAAACTGCAGTAAATCACTTCATAGTAAGTATCGTGTGAAATAAAAACCGGACATCACACCCTTATGGAGGCCAAAACTCGAGCTCCACCCATGCTTCATATTACATTTGATATGAAGAAAAGGGAACTGCCAGTGACAGATGTAATGACTGACTATATGATAACATACATGAACGATACAGATCGTTTACAGGGCCAACAACGCACACGACCCCTAATAAAGAGTTTTAGGAAAAATGAATGAATAAATGAATGAATAAAGAAATCTTCAATGCATTCAGACATTCATCAAAAAAGGATGTGGTCATTCTGGTTTCACTTCACTGACCAATTAAATACTTACAGAAACAGAATTAAGGGCAATGACGGGTAAAATAATTACCCACATGGGGATTTCAAACATCTGAACCTAACAGGCTTCAGTCACTTAATATTTAAAAATTTGATCTTTACTTATTAATGACAATAGATAAAACAACCCTAAAAAAAACAAACAAACAACAACAACCAAAAACAGATAAAACCAGCCTAAGCTGGTTGGCTGATTTGGGCTTGTTTCTGGTTTCTAAGCCTGGCCAAGCTGACTTTCAAGCCTGACGAGCTAAGACCAGACAGACCAGCTAAAGAAGTGGTCAAAACCCCTCTAAAACCAGCTATGACCAAACTGGACGACCAGCTAAAACCAGCTTGATGTACATGATGTCTATTTTTAAGGTATGTAAACTTGGTCCAATATTGATCAAAGGCTTTTTTTTAAATATACATTTTAAATACATTTCTGTATTCTAAACTCCTTTTTGAAATCATGTTTAATTCATACTTCACTCCTCTGAACGAGTGCTTCAAAAATGATTGTGAGCAAAGATTTTTTTTACTTTAATATATTATATTTAACATAAATATTGTGAATATATAATATATTATTATATCTTTTACATTTCACATGTTTAAATTAATATAACAGCATCCATTTTGAATGGCTATATTAAAATGGCCAACTAACAAATCTTTTAGATCCATTATGGTGACACAATGTAAAGCACCTTGACTGAGGCAAACAATTTGTAAATAATACATTTGCATCGCCATAATTTTACTAACAGATTAGAATACATTTGTTGGAGGCAGATTTGTATGCCATGAGATTGACTAAAGCACGCTCTGAACGTTCACAGAACACTTTAAATCAGCTTACCTTTGTTTGTCTGATGCAAATCCGCTTCACTTCATTCACACTTTACAGATGACAGAGGAGCGCAGCGCACATGAAGTCCCGCCCACTCGACCTGCGTCACATCGCGTTACTGGAGCACTTCCCATTACAATCAGCAAAGCCTGTGAACGACGTCTTTGAAATCGCTTGATCGAATGATTACATTTTGAGAAGCGATGTATGTTCCGAAAAGTAAGCATGGGAATAAATTAATGCATATTTTTTCTCCTTCTGTTTAGCAGACCAATAAAACCATATTTGCTTTCTAAGATTACAGACTCTGCAACCCTCATACCTCAGTCAGATGCACATAAAATGATTTTTTTTCTTTTTCTTTTTTTGTATGTCTGCATACAGCTCTTGTTGTATATGAGGAAACAGTTTACTTCCTATTCATATACCACAACACTGAGAACACCTCACACGTGGCTTTTATGCCATGACTGTCTTATTCTCATTTCACCCCAAAATGAGAAGATAAGGAGATAAGGAGCTTGACTAATGACAATCTACTGTACCATATTTTTACATGCAAAAAAACAAACAAACCAAAAAAAAAACAAAACACTAAAATGACTAACTACAGACGTAAGCGGAATTATGACATTACCACCAAATAGGTAAAATAACAAGTTCACCTGTGACATTAACCTTTGCTGATGACAAAGAGGACATGAGAAACTTGAACACTGACATGCACATGCATTTCCTGTTTTAGTGGTTCTAAATTGACCTAAGTTCTGTATTTGTGCATTTCACATGTGTGAGTCATCACTGGTCAGTCGTCATAAAAATCCATTGTGCCTACGTGAATCGAATAAAACCCAGCACTGATGGAAAACTCTGAAGTATTCTTGTACCACGCAAGTGGGAAGCAACCCACAACACATCAGTGCTAAAATTGTAAGGCCCAGCTTGGAAGAGCTCTCCCTGATTGCAATGACTCTCCCAACCTCTAGTCAGCACTAACTAGTAACACTCCCCATCATTTTGCTTACACTGGTTCTATGCAATAACACTCCTAGCCACTAGGTGGCCCTAGCTTCTGTTGATAGATAACATCACTACTCATTAGGACTTGAATGCCCCCAGCCGTGTGTCTTTACCCAATTAATGTTGGCCTATTTAAGCATGCCCCATTTGCTCTCCTGTGTTCAGTCTTGAGCCTACTACGCCTGTGTTTCCTCACCACCTAAGCTAGTTTATCGAGCTTTTGGATTTTGTCTTTTGCTCATCTTTTATTTCTTGCATTTTTCTATGGAAGCACGGCTTCCCTTTTGTTGTACGTTTGAACTTGGACTGCTCCAGTAAAACTTTTGTTCAATTATCTAAGTCTCTCTGTTATGGCTCTGCCCTTGGATCCCTCTGTTGACTGTCATCCACTATAGCACAGTGGTAGAGGAGACAGCTCGGTTGCCTAGCGGACCCGAGTTTGAATCCCACCTCAGACACCCATCACAAAAATAGAGTCCGTGTAATGATATGTTGCAGCCACAGTTTGAGGAAACCTCACTCTTTTGAGACAAATTTAGCATTACATGACTTGCTCACCAATGGATCCTCTGCAGTGAATGGGTGCCGTCAGAATGAGAGTCCAAACAGCTGATAAAAACATCACAATAATCCACACCACTCCAGTCCATCAATGAATGTCTTGTAAAGTGAAAAGCTGCAAGTTTGTAAGAAACAAATGCATCATAAGATGTTAATTGATGGACTGGAGTCATGTGTATTATTTATTGATTATTATGATGTTTTTATAAGCTGTTTGGACTCTCATTCTGATGGCACCCATTCACTGAAGAGGATCCATTGGTGAGCAAGTGATGTAATTCCAAATTTCTCCAAATCTGCTCTGATGAAAAAACTAATTCATCTTGGACGGCCTGAGGGTGAGTAAATTCAGCAAATTTTCGTTTTTTGGGTGAACTTTCAAATAAAAATATATTTGTAAACATTTCAGAATAAGCTGAATGATTGAATAAACTGAAATATAAAAAGATACTTAAAAAAAAAAAAAAAGACCAGACCTCAATAATCCACACCACTCCAGTCCATCAATGAATGTCTTGTAAAGTGAAAAGCTGCAAGTTTGTAAGAAACAAATGCATCATAAGATGTTAATTGATGGACTGGAGTCATGTGTATTATTTATTGATTATTATGATGTTTTTATAAGCTGTTTGGACTCTCATTCTGATGGCACCCATTCACTGAAGAGGATCCATTGGTGAGCAAGTGATGTAATTCCAAATTTCTCCAAATCTGCTCTGATGAAAAAACTAATTCATCTTGGACGGCCTGAGGGTGAGTAAATTCAGCAAATTTTCGTTTTTTGGGTGAACTTTCAAATAAAAATATATTTGTAAACATTTCAGAATAAGCTGAATGATTGAATAAACTGAAATATAAAAAGATACTTAAAAAAAAAAAAAAGACCAGACCTCAGAAGTCATACATTTTTAGATATTCCAAGATTTGGTCACCATTAAAGACTTTAATTTACCAAAAGTTACAAACCTGCCTTTTGTCTGAGACCTGTGATAATGACATTATTCCAGTTTGTCCATGACTTCAGCACCAAGGACAGTGGCGAGAAAAGCTGACACGCACGATAAGAATATAACATTAATCTACTGCCAAGAAACAAAAAAACATGTGTGATCTAATTTAGTCATTTTAGAAAATGAATAGGCCCTACTTATGAATTTGTTGCTCTTTTTAAAGCGGCATGACTGTTCTGCTACTGTGGCTTTCACTTAACCTGCACTTCCGCTGATTCAACACACAACAACAGAATACAAACACTAATGATTGTTTCCTGCTTAAGTTTTACTTCTCTTCGTCTTCTATTGAAGCATCACAAATTCCCTTGCAAACACAATTGGCTGCTAAAATTTTTTGTTATTTTTCTAACAAGCTTATTGCTTTAGTAGAATATCAATTTACGCGAGAAAAGCTGACACGCACGATAAGAATATAACATTAATCTACTGCCAAGAAACAAAAAAACGTGTGTGATCTAATTTGGTCATTTTAGAAAATGAATAGGCCCTACTTATGAATTTGTTGCTCTTTTAAAGCGGCATGACTGTTCTGCTACTGTGGCTTTCACTTAACCTGCACTTCCGCTGATTCAACACACAACAACAGAATACAAACACTAATGATGGTTTCCTGCTTAAGTTTTACTTCTCTTCGTCTTCTATTGAAGTATCACAAATTCCCTTGCAAACACAATTGGCTGCAAAATTTTTTTGTTATTTTTCTAACAAGCTTATTGCTTTAGTAGAATATCAATTTACTATGTGTTCATACGGCCTATCATGAAAGTCTGAAATACACTATAGTATTAGCTTGAAACCTAAAACTTTGGAGCAAAGAAATACACACACCTTTGAACATCATTACAAAAAAAAAATAAAAATAGACAAAAAAAAAAAGGTTGTGACATTTCCTGCTTCATAGAATCTTATAAAATAGCCAATCGGGAACTTGCCAAATATTAAATGCCACACTATTGGAAAGTCAGCTATTGGGTAATTTATATGCCTACTCAATTCTCGTGCCTGCACTGATCCAGAACATCTTTCAAATATAAAAGTAAGTTAAGAGAGAGCTCAGTCAGGTCAGTCACTGCTGCTCAGACTATTCTCCTTTCTAACACACGGTGTCGCTGTTTCTTTATTGTGAGGAACGTTGAATCAACAAGTGACACGGTGGGTGGCCAATAGTGGATTTGCGTAATCAGAACTGCGTCTGGATTTTAATGCACATTTATGATGTGCATATGCTATTTATTTACGTTTTCACAGATTAAACGCCACATCCAATGAAAGAGGTTTGGGTTTATAACTCAAAACGCAATGTACAGCTATGCTATAGTGCAAATGCAAACTTGCAATTTGCATGCCAATCTGTGTGTCTGTCTATCCATCCAGACCTTTATTTATTAATTAATTAATTAATTTTTTTGTATTGCTTTATTTTGTTGTACTGTAGGCTTATATTGTCTGCTGTTTTAAAATAATAGTGATTTAGTGATTAGTTATTTTTTTCTGTCCTATACCATATTTTAATTAGTTTAATCTATATATAAAAAAACTATACATTTAGTTTGAATTAAAATGTTAAAATAATGCAAGATCTATAAACACATATAGATCAATATTCGATTTGTAGCCTATTTATAACGAAGTTTTACTTTTCCAGATAGTCAGAAGTTCCCCTATAATTAAGAATGGCTCGCAGTGCAACTATAAATAAACGTACATTAGAATTCCATTGTGCTTCTTGCACACATGGGCAATAAAGTGCTTTACTCATGCAGACGCACAGAGAGAATGGTAAACGACTGAACCCCCTATTGAATTCAGGCAGAGCAGCAGAAAGAGAGAAGGGCTGAGCTGCGACACTCAGTCACAGAGAGGCAGAGGTGTGAATGAGTTAGGCAGAGGAAGAAAGGGAGCCTTGGAAAGTAATAGCAGGTTTTCTGTTTCATATCGATTGAAGGTGGGAAAAGAGATTACAACATATCCGGTAGAGAGAAAAGAAAGGGAGAGTACCCTATAATTTGTTTTTTAGAAGGGTTTGCCATACTTCTCCACCCGAGCAAAGAGGTATAGTGCACTTTGTGGATTTGTCTTAAAAAAAAAGTCGCCTGTAATTACGCACAAATCTTTCACACATAGCATAGCTATTGGAAACTCCAAGCTAAATTATTCTAAATACATGCATTTCGGTCTTTTTTTAAATGCAAAAGTTTCTTTATTTGTTCAGTGCTGTTTCAGGGACACTGAGGACCCCGGGTTGCAATGATAAGGATTTTGGTAGCGTGCGTCTCCACGGTGTCCATCATCGGGATGGTGGCCGGTGCTCGCGGTGGATACGGAATGAGTATGTTTGCGGCTCAATCCTCTCCTCCGGACCCGTGTTACGACGAGAACGGCAACCCCAGACGCTGCATCCCCGACTTTGTGAACTCCGCGTTTGGAAAGGACGTGCGCGTATCCAGCACCTGCGGCGCTCCGGCGTCGCGGTACTGCGTGGTGACCGA